TCCCGCGGGCACCCTCCCTCCCGCCCGCCCTCGGGGTGGCCACGAGGGACTTCCTCTCTCCTCTCCCCTCCTCCTCCTCCTCCACCTCGCCCGCGCCCCGACTTCCCGCCACTGCTCCTGGCGCTCGCTCGCCCTCCCGCCGTCTCCTCTGGCCCGGATGCCCACCCCCAGGGGCACCGGGAGGGTCTCTGTGCCTCGGACGCAGACGCTCTCAAACTGGACGGTGTCCTTCAGCATCCTCCGCCAGGTCTGAGGTGGCCCCAGAAATGCGCGTGTCCCACCTGTCCATGCAGGGATGCTGAAGCCTTGGCCGGGGTCTGAGACACCCCTGACCCCACCCCAGCGGGCCGCGCCCGCAGCCTCGCTTCGGACCTTGAACGGTCCCCTGTAAGCCCAGCAGAGAGAAATCTAAAAGCTTGAGAAAGTTGTGTTTCCCTCCTGAGCTGGACAGAGTGGGGTGAGAGCTCCCCCGAAGAGTCCGGCTGCTCTTGGGGAGCCTGATCTTGGAAGCGCTGTCTGCTCAAGGTCGCTACTCCCTTGCGCTCAGGTGAGAAAGAGGGTTAGGGGTAGGCGTCCAAATGATCGCTTGGATCTGCGCTTTTACTGTCGTTTCCAAAGACAGTTAGGGAGCATCTCCCGAGTGCAGGGAACGGTTTTAGGGAAGTGGGAAAGCTAGAGCCCAGACACCAAGGCAGCAGGGAATTTCCAGCTTCCTGGTCCTCAGAATTGGTGTCTTTTCTTACCACTCCCCACCCTGGCCTGGGGTTTTCGGTTGCTTCTTGTTTTTCTACAGCAGTGCACAATCGCAACCCAAGTAGCACTCAGGCTAGAGTGGTGAGCAGGGACCCCGGGAATTCTGAAGTCTAGTCTGGGAATCTCTTGAGCTCCTCTGATTGGTGGCATTGCACTGAGTGTAGAGCTGGCTAGAATGTGAGTGAATGTGCTGTCTATAACTTAGAGGGTTAACAGGGTCCACGAGAAATGGTTACAGCCAATTTTTGGATGGTTCATGGAATGTCATAGCAGAAGCACGGTTCTGTCATCACAGGAATCCTGCAGACTTTTGTTTCTGTCCCACCCCGCCCCCGCCTGGTTGTGTTTCCCTGCTAAGCCCGCCCTCCCAATTGGCCACTTTTTCCAGACATTTCTCAAGATCCAAGTCACAATGTGCATCAAGTTGTCCAGAAAAGGACAAGAGGGCTGTGAGAAGTAGGAGTGTGAGTCAAAGGAGCATGGTCTGCCGCAGAAAGGCAAAACCACAGGCAAGCACGGAATACACAGTGTTAATGAGACAGAGATACCTATGGGCCAAACGTCAAACTTTCATCTTCCACCCACTTTTTTGGCTCGAAACAGGAACACAGAATGTTTTGTCAAGGGTCATCCCAGGAGGAGGGGTAAGTTCCCAAAAAAGCATTCTGTATTTTTATGATTTAATTAATACAAGTTCTTCCAGTATATTTTTACCATCCATGCTTTCATAAGATCAAATCATCAAATAAATATGTATTCTTGCCTACATTGTGTTGGTCCTCTTTAAATTAATATAAAATTTTTTTGTTGCTGTTTGTGTTTTCCACAGCCCTTACCGCACAAGTAAGTTTGGAAGGAGACACAGGAATTCAAATCCCTGCTCTCTGGTAACTAGCTAGGTGATCTCAGGCACATATTTTACCTCTGTGTTATTGTTATGGGCTAAGTGTCAATGAGGCTATTTTCCCAGATTGTTGAGAAGAGAGAGGGGGAAATGCACACAAAAACTGAGCCTTGCCTGACACCCAGTAGATCCACAGCAAAGGTCACTGAGCTTCCTCTATTTATTTTGCTGTGTTCTACCCTTGAATGCTAGAGAAGATACTGAAACTAGTTATTCATAGCCATTATACTTAAAGCAGAAAGACCCCTTACCAAGAATACCATTCCCTGAGGGCATTTCTAGGAACCAAAATGGCAAAAAATGATGCACATTTATAAACAGAAGCAATTTTCTGGGAGAAAGGACAGCCCAAACTTTGGTCCTTTCACCAAGCCCCCACGCAGTGTTAAGTCAGCTGACTTAATTACCCAGGAGTATTTCTTCTGGTTTTAACAGTGTGTGGACTTCTCTTCCCAGGTGCTCTCTCTTTGCTGTCTTGCTTTCTTCACACCCGCACCCTTCTTTTCACCCCTGGACGCAGTACTGAACAGCTTTTCATGTTCACTGCAAACAAAAGGCATTAATGACAGTGATGAAGCTGTCATAACTGAACTGCTAGAACCTGCCACTAAATACTATCGCCAGGCTGTAATCATTACAACGAACAGAAAACAAATAGCAACCCATTTGTGCTTAGCCCATAGTGATCCCCTGCGAATAATTACGTTTTCCACCCTCCTCCACCCTCAGAGGATTTAAATGACTCTGGGCTCAAGCTGCTCCTGATAATAGACAAAACTCCAGAGTATCTGAAGGTTCATAATGTTCCTCTTACTCGCTTTTCTACTTTCCATCATTAGGGAAGATGTTGCTGAGAAGCATGAATTAGAGTCTGAGCTCTGCAGAGCTTATTCTGATTGCAGTTTCCAAGCGGGGGGAGAGTGACAGAACAGACTGGTCTTATTTGTTTTAGATGCTAGATTTCACTGGGACTTCCTACTCACAGAATCCCTGGACCATAAAATAGGAAGGGAGAGAAGCAGGGAGAGAAGTTTGTCCTGGGAAATTAATCACAAATGAAAACAACTCCAATGGGAAGATTTCTGAGAACAACAAAACACCCCTGACTTCCACTCAGTACAAGTCACACTCTTTAAATTAGTTTCTGCTAAGTTTTGCTGTCCCTTCACTACAGCTGCTTCACAAGAAAACTGCACATCTCATTCTGTAATGCAGCACACTCACTTGTAACCAAGAAGCCATTTCTGTTCATTGCTACATGCATCATAATATAAGGCTTTTCATCTCAGTTATATCAGCAAAGCTTTGCAAACTTTAATGGCAACTGTATACACAGCAGTGAAGCACTTTAAAAGACCTGCCAAAAGTATAGTACCAAGCTTTGATTTTAATAGCACTAGAATTATGTTCAGTGTAAAAGCCTTTAGATACGAGGGCGGGAACACATTTCTACACGGGGACTCTGGTTAGAGTCACTCTAAAGAAAAGCCGTGAAGTGTTGTGGCTCAGGGGTCAAATGGAACAGGGTAAGTTGTCTGAACTCCATGTGCCTCAGCTCACTCTCAGTGGTGTTAATGGGATTGCTGAGAACAAGGCTGTGATACATTAAAAGCACTTATAGGCTGGGGATATAGCTCAGAGGCACAGTGTCTGCCTGGCAAGCACAAGATCCTGAGTTCGATTCCTGGTACAAAAAAAAAGTTTTAAAAAAGGACTTATAACAGAGTCTGACACATAGACAACACTCAATAAATATTGGTCTTGATAGCATTGTCATCATTAAAGGATCCATATATCATGTAAGGCATGATGAAAGGAGAATAGTACTGAGATTAAAAAAAACAACAGGAAACAGCATCAGCTGTGACCTGCTGGCTCTGGTATTGCTGACTAACTGTGAGTAAGTCTGTTAAGCCTTTTAAATCTTACTTTCCACCACTAATCAATGAAGGGATTGACTGAGCTGGTCCCCTAGGTCCCTTCAAATTCTAAACTTCTGTGGCTTGATTTAATCCCACAGCAAATCCTTTTGCAAGGTAAGAACACTTATGCCCTTCAGTAACATCTCAGGGCGTGGGTTTCACTGCATGGGCAATACCCTGGGCACAGATGATCCTCACCACAGCATAATGCACAGGTGCAGGGAACCAACCGTTACGTTTTGAGAGACAGGCAGGTCTAGAATCTGTGCGCAGCATCTACGCTCAGCACACAGACTCTGCTCAGTAGGTATGTGTTGACAGGTGAATGAGGGAGTGAGATAGCAAAGGGCCTGAAGAGCAAAGATTGTCTCTGGGACTCTGCCTTCCATAAGATGATCTAAAGGGAGACAAAGGGCCGGGGGTGGGGGGGCGCGTGCAGCTCAGTAGCGAAGGCAGGCTAGCATGTGCGAGGCTCTCAGTTCAGTTCCCAGCCCTGAAAAAAAAACAAAACAAAACAAACTCAAGCCCTGAAAAAAAACAAAACAAAACAAACTCAAGCATAAAGGAAAGAAAAATTGCTATTTAAAACCACAAGTGCTCCCTGAAGGCTGCATCCTTTTAAGGGACAGAAACCTCACTGCCAGGTCCCTGCTGCTCTGTGGTGCTGAGTGTGTCCAAGGCCTGTGCAGCTATGCAAAGGTCGATGGGGTGGTTTGGGCCTCAGAATGGAGTTACATCCTTTGCCAAACAGAACCTGGGGACACTGGAGAGAGTAAGACAGCCACCAGATGGTCTGAGACCAAACACGTCAAACTATGGGTGGTCAGTGAAAACCCTGCAGGAAGGGTGGGCCAGAGAACATTCCAGAACAGCAAGTCTCCTGTGCCATTTTGTTTGCTGCTGTACCCAGCAATGCTGTGCCCGTGCAGTAGCCCTTCCAGTTCCCTGGCTTGTGCTGTGAGTGCTATGGTGGTAGGCTGCAGGGTTGCAGCGACGCAGGCCCCACCCTGGAGCTATTGCCAGTCAATAGCAATCAATTGTTTTGATTCTTTTGCTCAATGTAGATGAAAACTGCAAA